GGGAGGCAGAGGGTATCTACGAGATTTGCATTTAAGCATCAAGGATGAAATTATAGGTTAGTTCTGCCGAAACGTTACAGGTACTAGAAAAACTCTGGAGTGAGGGCTCATGAGAACTTGTCAAAAAGATCGGCTTAGTTTTCCACTTCAAGGCTATTCTTTCTGTTTGTTATAAGGCCAAAAGCCTTGTTTTTCTATGAACTTGGGGTCTGATGAGTAATCGTACAGCTCTTTAAAACAGGAACATTCATGGCAGCAAGAATGTCTTTATTCTCGTTTTGACAGGTCCACAAATTCCTGAATTTCACTCAGAAAAATCCCGTAAGTAATCCTTTCTCAGTTAAAGTAATCATCGAGAGGTTACTTGATTTCGGCCAACATCAAATTCACTTAAATGCGTTGATGGCCGCAGAGGTAGCGACAGTGTTTGATAATCTACCATAGGCTTTTATCATGGGTGGCTGAATGATGAAAAAACAGTAGTGGCGGCTGTACTTTGGGAGAAAATGGCCTGCATGAGAGAAGCGGAGAAAGACAGACTCTAAAGAGAGTTTTTAGAGGTAAAGTTTGTGAAAATTTGAGCCATCGGGGTGGAGGCGATGGGTGTTGAATAAGTGATACGAAAATGAGAGAGTTGTCACCTCAAGAGTGTAACGCTCATCATCATCATCCTTATAAAGGAGGCTCATTCTGCAGGTGATTAGAAAGGAGGTCCAGATTGTGAGGCCTTAATGAATAGGGACGAGTGATGGGCACAAGGCTCGGATGATACAGAAAAGAAGGGAGTGAAAGGGACTGGGAGAATGGTGAGAAAAAGCATATATTCTTGATTGACAGCGGGGCTCACTAGCGTTCTACCAAGCTAGAACATTACCTCACTTCAGATCTCTGAGGATAAGCTTTCCCATTTTAAACTCAGTCATTACAATTTTACTACTTAACCTAAACTAGCTCTGTCAACATAGTATTTGCAACATTTTAAAATAACACGCTTTAAAATTTTGTAATTGGTCAGATGCATTTGCTTGAGTCCCTTTTAAAGTAATTTTGTTTACTGTCTAGACTGCCTTGAAGTGGAGAGAAGACTTTGTACTAAGAATATGCATCGAGGCCGTACAGAAGGGCGAGGGACCTACTGAAATGGCTTGGAGGCCATGCCACCCAGCGGATGCACAATGGTGGAGCACTAAGTGTCCGTAAAATCTAAATGAATAGGTGAGCAGAGCATCGTCCCTGAAGCACCCCATAGTCGACCTCCAGCGTTCAACATTACAACGTGGTCGGTACTGTAAGAAAAACACCTACAATCCAACCGCATAGGTCATTGAATTGGTGTGCAGCTTAGAAGAAATAGGAATGCAATGTTACTGATGCCTCTTGGCAATTTCACTTGATCTGGATTTTTGTCCTGTTTGGGAATTGTGTTAGGGGAGAAGAGTTGTGCGAGCCAACACGTATGTCTATCGCTACTCTTAGGAATGTTTCCCTGGGAGTGAAGTCATTTAATAATGGACGGCATTTAAAATAGTGTCTTGGAGATGAGTTTTCGCGTCTGTTTCTCCTTGCCACTTTGTTCCCACTTCAGTTCTGCGAGGACAAATCCATCCTTCCATTTAAATTCAATCCAGCTAGTAGAGAGGTGGAGAAGGTATCGCGTATTCAATTATTTGACACCTTCATATTGAGTGCAGTAAATATTTCTGTAACGAACTTCTTAGATGTCGCACAGCTGGTGTCGCTTTGGCTGTTAATAGCATTCCTGTAGAACATGAGAATGAGATACTTGTAGGAAGACATCATCCTCAACCCTCTGTTAGGGGGTCGTCACAGATTCTCCCATCCTCAGCATATGCCCTTCTTTCATCACAATTAAGTTTAGCATTAGGGATTGAAAATCATCTCGAGACTTCCCTAAAGAAGAAAAAGGCTGTAATACGACAACAGAATAGGTATTGCCGACGTACAAGACTGAGAGACTACCAGCTTGTCCCCAAAGCCAGGTCGATGGGTGGAAGTACAATGGCCGTGCCTTTCAGTGCCCGCCCACCAAAGTAAGATGTTACACAATCAAAGCATTTTCGAATTCACATATCTCACAGTTTATCTTGTTTACTCTCGGTGTTCTGATTATTAACGAGGCGTCTCTAAGTCTTAGATCAGGTATGCTATTATCTTTTGAATGTTTTACCGATGTGGGAATGATGCAGCTTAAACATCTAGGAAAAATAACTAAAGGTGTCTTTGACTGACACAGGGTGCCAGTTAGGCGCGACATACTTTGCTCCGAAGGTTATGAAGAGATGGTACTTCAACAAATGACAATAAGTTGAAGACAGTGGATAACCATGGATTCGCCATATTCACTACTCCAACTCTACTAGATAAATTAAAACAGTAAGGTAAAATAAGGGGTAAAGTCGGTCTCGCTAAGTGGTCGGAAGCCAAATCGTCTAGACGTTGGTTGTTATTGGCTGTCAAGGCATAGAGGCGAGTCATGCTACCAACTAATGTAAATGGATTCCTTTGGAGACGGATAATAGGCAGAGGCGATTGATATTCAATGAACTATTGAAATTCACTGAGTTTCAAAGCACAACAACATAATTACCTCCGATTGGCGACCCACCCCTTAATCAGTACCCCTTGGCAGCTACAGCTGTTGGGATTGACACTTCGAATGATGAGAGTTGATTTGCGCCCACTAATCACTTTTATGTACATTGAATGTGGCAATATAGGCTGACTTGGGACTAGGGGGTAATCAATTCTGCTACTCAACTCACCTAATGCTTGACATCTCTTGTTAACCACTGGAAATTCATGAAGAAATGAAAGTTACCACAGACTTCATACTTTCTGACTCTCTTTCAGTAAAAGCACCTGGGATTTTTTTGTAAATTAAGATAGAATGCAAGCAATGAAACAATCGGTGTTGATATTCTTTGCAAGAATACCAGAACCATGAAGCCTGATGATCTTCTGTGCACGTATATCATTTGACCTTTCGGGAGAAGAACGTCCAACCATCCCTAAAATCTTTTTGGGGAGAACAATTCTTTTCCTATTGTATTTTCTAGTTCAATTTCTCTCCATTGAGCCCCTTTCACACCACAAAAAGTTAGGTGAATTGGTGGATGGGATTCCCGCTTGTCTGTTTTGCGTTTTAACCCACCCTCTAAGCTAAAGTAAATACCTTTTCTCCATCTTCCATTCTCCTGCTCTTTCTTATTCACATTCTTCTATTATCCAACGAAGAGGCACTTGCTTCCATTGCCAATGTCAATACTATGGTGACTATGAGTGGAGGTCAAGGTGTCAACAACTTTAAGCAGTATTGAAGGTAGTGAGTGATAAAACCAGGCCGTTTGTGTTCACCACAATGGGATCGGCTCCCACACAGCATTGGCTGGCAGAAGACAGACTACAAATTTCAAGGACTGTCATCTTGTTGTTCTTCACTTCTTTTACGACTTGCATATACCTCCCCACTTACATCGTTTGCTGGCTGGCTGGCCTGTTATGAGGAATAGCCTTTGCACTGCGACGACCGTAAAGTGAACGCAATATCATCATTCATCTTCAAATAATTTAAATCTTACTCTTCAAAGATTTGTATCGTTTCATCTATCATCAGGAAGCCATGGATGCTCTGTGACTGGTCGATTTCGGGAATCTCTTCACTGGATAAGACATCTCTGGTGCGTACAAGACCAACCTCGTTCTCTCTTTCTTTTTCAGCCAGAAAGAGCCAGCACTGGTCAATCAGTGGAAAAAGAGTTTCAATATTATTTTAAATATTATTTTTACTATTATTCTTACTCGTAAAAGGTAATAAAAACACAACACCTCATACCTCACACTCGCATTTAGCGTGTTGTCTCATTTTGAATAAGAAGAGCCCGGGAAGAAGGATGAAAGGGAAGAAAGGAGGAAGAGAGGCATTGCATATCCTTTCCATCTCCTCCTCTCCTTAATTCTTCTTTTCCTCTTCTTCACTTTCTTCACAATCATGCGGGACTAATTGGTCAACAAGTGGGAAGAGAGTCCTACCCTTATGCTCATTCTTGTAAGGTAGGGCAAGGCACAAATTGACGAAAGCAGAACAAAATAGTAGTGCCAAATAAGGTTGGAGTTAGGGCTATGAAGAGAAGGGGCGAAGAGACGATACGTTCCTTTCCTTTTATCTCCCGGTTCTACAATTTCTCTGCCTACTGCAGTAGTTAGTAATTTTTTAGACTAACCAGTAATGTGAAACGAAATTCCATTTACTATTGTCGAAATGAAATTGGAACATCTCAACACCTCAGGTGCCGTATCAGCAAGACAAGTAGCTCATTCATCAGGCAAATTATTTTCTTTCTAAGGCCGTCAGTAGCACTAGAAAAGGTGGAATGTAACACACTGAGGTACTGCAACCAAGGTGATAAATAGAACTTGACCATCTCTAAGTCTTCCATTTGGGTCATTAGGCGACGAAATCCGTGGTAGTTACCTCTGAACCACTCACACTCACTCCATCTCTCACTCACTGCGGCACAGGGTGGGAAGGCGCACCAAACAGTTGTTGCTGGTCTGTTGCCAGGTCTCGCCACTCACTTGCAGGAAGGAAGGAAGGAAAGAGAGGGGGTCAGCGATTGACGGCAGTAAAACAGAACAATGCTTTCACTTCTCGCTATTGTTCGTGTGTGTGTAAACCAGCCTCACGTTGTTGGAGTCGTGAGAAGAGGCAAAGTGTTAGCAGTAGTAGTGGTGGTGGGGGCGGAGGGGTGTGTGATCCTTTACTTGTCGCTAGAGAGAAATCTATCAACACCTGATGTTTCTTGGAGGAATTAATTAAAAGGGGACAAAAAGAAAAACTATTGTTTTATACTACTTCATCACACTCTTAAACATTGGCTTTGCTCCTTGTAATTAGGATTTAGTGTCCAAATTCTTCTGAAAGTTAATTATCGGCGCAACTTGTTTTAAGTGAGCAGTTTTGCGACTTGTAAAGTGAGTATTCAATCATCAGCACACTTGAGCCCAACCATTAAATCTTGCTTATGTGGCGTTTGGCGTAGTGTGTCCATTTGGTTAACTCTTCGGTTTTGTTGCGTTGAAACTTGAAGCTCCGCTTTTGTAGGTCCACTGGGTGGCACAGCCTCCAGGGCCGAGACTGTAACACCCTCCAATCCGTCCTTATGTCGGTAACACACATTCTACCCTAGTAATACGTCCTCTTTTGACTTATGAGATGACTTAGAGTGCTACAAATCACGTAAATTCACTGGCTAATGCCACCTTTATTTACCTCGTTTCTTCATCAAGTCCGAATGTTCTCATTGCTTGATTAAAATTTTTTGCATTGCTTGCCAGTTTTTTGCGTTCATCCAGTCTCGAATACTGTGGGAAGGGATAGAGACTTTGAAATGCCATTATGACATGTTTTCACCTGTCATTTGTAATCGTCAATGCATACCCTATGGTCCCATAGCTCACATTGACGACGTTGAAGCCTTTAAAGCTCCCTTTCTCTGACATTTGATAGGTCTGAAATTTGGGTTGATTTTCGTAGTTTAATTTATTAATAAATTTCAGTGTAGGTGATAGAAAACTTCATGTAGAAGGTTTAATCAAGTGAAATACGCAGCACCAAATTGGCTTTTTAGATATACATTACTTCGTTAAGATCTAGAAAATTAAGTATTTTGGTTATTTCCCTGAAGAGGAAAGAAGTTATAATGCTCGGGCAGAATATGTACTGCTAACATTGGGAAGGGCTAAGGTCACTGATAAGCTCTCTTCGCATCTTAAGCGTCGTCCCCGTCGTTCTCCTTTGGTCAACCTCCCGAGTCGGACATCACAACGTAATCGGTGGTCTGAGAAAAACACTCAAAATCAGCCTAGTAGTCGTCGAATTTGGGTACAATAGAAGATATTTGACTGCCACTTTGCTGATCCTCCTGGATATTCTACTGGATCTGGAGTTTTGCCCTCTACGGAAACTGGATTCTTGGACTGGGAATGTGCCGACCATCACAAGTGTCCATAGCTAGTCGTAGGAGCACTAGACAAAAAGCGAATTCATATAACAAAGGACGGGGTCGAAGATAGTTGTGTGGGGATAGGGTTTCGCACCTATTTCTCCTTGCCACGTTGTTTTCACTTCAGAGCTGCCAAGCCATATCTATTTGGTTTCCATCCAGCTAGTGAAGTGGTGGAGAAGGTATCGCTTGTTTACTTCATGGACATCCTCATACAGGTGCCTTGGGCAGATTCGCAACGTACTTTAGCAGACAATTCATGGCCACGTTTGTGCCACTCGTCCGAGTTGAGTAAGCATTTGTGCAGAATACAGAACTGGGGCAATTGCCGAGAAAAGGTGTCATTTTAAACCCTTCTGCTGGGCTCTGTCACACATTCGCAGAGGTTGCAGCATGTGCCCATTTTCGTCACATTAAGTTTAAGTATTTATGAATGAAACTAGGGGTAGTTGTCCTTTAGGATTGAATTTGCTTTCCACTATTACCAATGTAGCACCCCGAGGCTTCCTTAAAATCGAAAGATGACATAAAAATGTGTATTTCCAGCGAGCAGAAGGGATGCGGGGTTACTAGCAGAGCCTGAAGGCCATGCCGCCTAGCTACAATACAAAGGCAAAATTTCAAGTGCTCGCGAAACAGAAAAAAGAGGAAATTTTCATGGTTGCAAATTGCTTTACTCTCTCTAGTCATCACATTAAACCGATAATCTGAGAACAATAGCAAAAATTATTCTTTATATACTCATGAGGACTTAGTTTCGGCTTCTTTGAGGATTACCAGGCCCTTACCAGTGCGAAGGAAGTTTTAGTGTTTACGCACAGTAGGTCAGTAAATTTATAGGCCTAACTGGATGGCCACATTGGCCAAGACGTTTCCAACATAATAAACCCAGTTTTGAGGTCAAAAAGCTTCGATGCGTAGAGTTACAAGCTTATACCAAAGACCGACATCCCACTGAAATGGCATATTTCTACCGCGAGTTTGGGAATGAACTACGCAAGCCATCTTATGCACTTCATCCGAAACCGTCCAGTTGGAGGCAGCACCTGATTACGATACGCGGAATAGTGCAGGCGTTCAAATGGATGCTGTTGGCTTTTACCGCTCAAGTGTTGGGCACTTTACTAGCACCTATCCTACCTACACACACACGTCATACAACAGTGGCGCACATGAGATGCGCGCGTCAGCAATGCAAGACCTCCTTTTCCCACCCAGTCGCTGAGGTATCAGCGAGGTCGCAAATAAACCCTGACATGGCATCCACGCACACGCCTTCTGTCATCAACACACAAACACATCCGCACATCCCCATCACGGCGACTGCACACGTTTCCCCAGGCGTCGTAACTAGGTGGGCACTTAGTCAACCGATTTCGTCTATCTCTACTCCGGGGTAAAGATATACTGAGATCAGAAGAAGGCGAGTTAAGTAAAAGTTTCTTGCCTTGCAAACGGTACATCCGTGATCGTCTGTCGGTCAATTATCTGAAGCATTGTGGTAAACAATCTGCATTTTCACCATTCCCACCTTTCTTGACGAAAAGTTAAGGACCAGTCAGCCAATGAGAAGAGATTACTGCTCTTATCGTTATGCTTATTATGAAGAGGCAAGGCAAGTCAAGGCAATACAAGACAGGTCGGAATAAAATAACGCAAGACCTCAAACTTCGTATCACTGAAATGCCCAGTTATGGAAATATTTGGCATGTAGGATAAAGATGAGGGAGGAAGTGACAGAGAGAGAAGGATTGAAGGGAGTCTGGGAGGGAGGACGGGAGGCAGGGCGATAATACCTCCTTCTTTTTGTCCTACTTCTCTAATGATATCTGCCCCGGTGGTGTTGATCGCTTTTTCTTGGCATTAGGCAGACAATCGGGAAATCCCCTTTTTTTATTAAGTGCTTGATCAATGTGGAGTTTGTAAGCTCGTGTCCCAATGGGAAAGGATTTTAAATTGTGAGGGTTCATGTTTAACTAAAATAGTTCAACAGGCATTCTGTCTTCATTTATTTGGTCACATCATAGTTTTTCCCTCCTTGTAACGCACAAGGCGCAGTTAAGTAAATAGACATTAAATCTTTATCAAATGGCTTTAAATTCGTAGTTGATAGTGGAATCCATCGCCACAATGTTTACTTACTCCAAATATATAAGGGTACTAAATTGGCTTTAGTTTCTTGTCGGTAAATATGGAAACTTTTCTTCCTTGTTGTTGACGGAAGATGTGGGAAGTGTGTAAAACCATCTACGAACTTTGATGGACGTTGTCGTGACCTTCAGAGCCTCACTCAGTGCAGTGTGGACTCGACGTTGAACACGGTCCGGACCCTCGGCGCATGAAGCACATGCATACGCATACATACACCCACCAACAGGCGAGACAAATGATTTGTCCCATCTGGGCGCCGACATGTCTGCACAGATTAAGGGGAGGAGGGAGGGGGTCCCTCACCATGACACCTACAGCTCTTTCCTCTGTGTATGCACGCGATAGAATGCTTGTTACGTCCCTCCCTACCCCCTCCCGCCCTGTCCCCTTGCCATTCGACAAAGAAGACGACGTAGACACAGTGGCGCCTACCGCATACACCCGCTGTCATTGTCGAGTCCTAGTGTGAGGATTATGATTTATGCCAACTTTAGAAGAGGGCTGTGGCTAATCAATTATGCATTTTACCAGTTCTGCCCCCAACCATCGTGTGAGTGGATTGTACGTACGGAATAGTTGGGCGATCCCCCCCTCTATACGGAAAGCTGCGTGGTTAAATGGAAATGCGCGTCTGTATTAATAACGGACCCTTTAAGCCCACCATGATTTGGCCAAAGTCATGGTAACCGTGCTACTAGTTTCTAATGCCTTCTGTGAGTTTCGAAATAAGGCCCTTTCAGTTTTGTGCATTTTGTGGAGTCTTTGCAAGTGGATCAAAATTACTCTTTGAAGTCGTTCTAACTATAGGGGCTACTCCATTCCTTTTTAACCAAGACTTCGGTTACTGTCGGCGCATAGTGGATCTAGCCATTCCCAAATAGCCAGATCCTAGCCCTTCTTTCAGCCACATAAAATAATTGCCGGTAGTTCCTAAGCAACCTCTTTTGCTCTTGGCTTTAGTAACACAAGCCCCTGCTTAGACGTTTTTAAATATAGCGACTAGGATTCTTTACTTGCGAAACGAAATCCCGATCATTCTACCTGCGCCGCTGATTTCACTCCCAATTTTAGGTGATTGACAATGCTGCCCTTAAACTTGTATTGCCGGAGGGAACACAAACTCTGCAGTACTACGACTTAATCAGCCTTCTGACTATACTGCACTGCCACGATACAATTACCCACAGACTCCAGCCTGGCGGACTTTCCGGAAGGTACTTTAAGTGATACTCTCCAGCCACATTGACGTGTAATCTCATCCAGCCATCCATACTTCACTCCTGTCTGGTCAGATGTCAGTGGGGAGCCAGCGCATTCGCCACGCACACACACAGCACGTTTTCCGTGAAAGGGGCCCCTGAAGATGTGTGTGTGTGCGTGTGCGAAAATGATTATTCTTACCCTCCCCTCCCCGTCCCCCGGCCAAACACCGTGCCACCCACGACGAGGGGCGTTTGAGAGGCCAGACAACCTGGCACCCATAATCGCCATCTGTGCACAAGCAGCAGAGGAGGGTCATGTGAACGGACGAGGCGACGCACTCGCCTGCGGGTCCTTTCATTACGAGTTTGATCGGAGTCAACCCATCGGTGGCCGTAGTATACCTGGTAGAACTGCAAAAGAGCAGCAATGTGTCTTGGCAGATACACTGATAGGGTATTTTGCATTTTGAAGTCTTAAAAATTCATTGAAAAAAAAATTAAGAATTTGTGGTATAGAATAACAGTCTAAATTAAAACACCTCAGTATGTTTACTTCAATCACAAACTTCCCCCTCAAGTTAAGACCTATTTTGCTGACGTGGGTTTAATCTATTCTATTGTTATTCCTAATATTTTTCAAGTTGTTAAAATTGAAGGAAATTGCCAGGTGATTTAGTGAATTTTTCAAAAATAAATATACCCTAAGAACATGGAACTAGTGCTTTTACTCTGCAATGTGAAAATCTAATGCATCTACAGTTGTCAACTTGTCGATATTTGACACGAAAGTTTATATAAAGTCTCCAATGCAATTATCGCTTCCATAATCGTTTCTGTGGATGGTTTCCAGTGTTTCCTACTAAGAAATTAGTTTTGGCAGGGCCCAGGATAACCAAAAACTTTGTGAGATATCTGTTATAGCTCAATGTAGAAAATTTTTTTGTAATTTGCAGTGACTTGAAAGGTTATTGTGAATGTTTGTGTGCACCCTTTATTTAACTTAGGTACATGTGAATTTGCCCATCGGTGTAGTACTCTCCATCGGTCACTCTCTCTACCACAATCTTACATTGCACCCACCCTCATTTCAACCAATGTCAATTGAACCCGGCGGAGGTGGTTTCAACCTGTTATTTTTGTCAAACAGGTTCACCTCAGTTCAGCTCACCTCCAAAGCCAAGGCGGAAGCTCCTGCTTTAACTCTGTGAATGAATAGCGCTTACTGGTGGACTACGTGGTAATATGAAGTAGCAGAACGCACTACCCGCCCACTAATAGTTGACACAACAAGTTTAATTTTGCCGACGGATGAACCACTCCACTACCAATATGCCTATGTATCATGCTCATTACATGGATCCCTTTTTTCTTCCCACTCTTCTTTACGATGAGTAAGTACATGTCGCTATTGACATGTCAACGCCATTGTAAGCATAAGTGAAGGTCAGAGTGTCAAGAAGGAATTACAGTCATGTAGGGAGGGATAGCCCTGTTGTGGTGAAACCAAGCGTTTCCATTCACATCAATAGGGGGTAATGGTAGCTGGTAGTGTCAAGAAACGGTGCATATATAAAATCCACCCCACTCACGTGCAGTTGGGTGTGTTGACAGACGACAGATGACAGACAGGGGACCTTAGAGACTGCCAATTTCTTGTTCTTCACTACATTCACGAACTTTACAAACCGACCACACCTTTCACTTTAAATTCCTGACGCACTAACTGACTGACTGACTGACCAAATGACCTTTGGAGAGAAGTGTCTTTTGTATCACATGGTATTAGGAAATCGTCAGGCACACTAACATATCAAGTGTTACGCCATCCACCTCCCAGTTCTAAGACATGGGATATTTTATTCCTCTCTCCACGGAGGACTCTACCTGCGAACGCAACTATTCACTTTGACTAGTTGATTTGCTGATGGCCAAACAATAATCACGACGGAGATCTCTTTACTCTATGAAATACTACTCGGATGCGTACCAATAAATACTTCTCTCTTTTTCTCTTCTTCACTTTCCTAAGAAACAGTCAAGACTGGTGAGTCAGTGGTGGAAAGTCCCACTCTTGATTCTTATGCTCATTCTTGCAAGACAAGATGAGGTAAGACGAGAGAAGAAAAGGCAGAACAGAACAACGCAAGCCCTGCAGCGTCATATTGTTGCAAGAATTGGTTGAAAAAATATTGACAAAGTAGAATGAAGATGACAAGGAGAGAGGGAAAGAGGAGGGAAATGGGGGAGGAAGGGAAAGATGGCGGTAACACCAATTTCTCTTAGCTCTACTTACCCTTCCTACTTCTTTGACGATGTTTGTCCAGGTGATGATGATCACATTTTTTTGGCATTAGAGAGATGGATGGTTCGAAAATACCCATGAGATAGTTTACACGAGTGAAGTGTTTGCTCATAATGGAATTTGTGGGCATGTCTACTGTAAAAAGATTGCAGACCATTATATAGTCTATCTACAGACACCGAATATTGTCAGGAATCTCTGCGTTTATTGAATTTTTTTACGAACCGTACCTACCCATTTGGTTACATTGTTGATATTTAGGCAGATTATCTGTTTCGTTAAACCCGTATATTATGTTGTTACAAGATAATCTAATGTACTGCCCTTCAAGCCCTGCGCAATTTATCGTCTGTAGGCATAAAATCTGCTGCTACACACAATACTCTTTGTTTCAAATGGGAAAACAAGCTCACTGACCTCACCGCAATTTAGCTCTTTCTTTTGCTTCTAGACCAACCTCGTGACTTAGCGTGGAAATCTAAAGATGTCGGTACCACATACGTGTGCCTTCCCATTTCCAAAGGGCTTTATTCATCCCCTCCTGAGTGGGTTCACCCATGTCTAATGTCTGTGGTAGTTAAAATATTAAAATAGGTTTTAATGATAGGATTTCGATGTATTGTTTAGGAAGAGATCTTACGAATAAGAACTGGAAGTACATATAAATCATTTTATTTGGGAACCGTATTACTGACTCGTTTGCAAAATTTTTAACTCTTGCAACAAATGGTTTTAGGTGAATTTATAAAATGGACATTATGAAATATCTAATAATTAACAAAATTTATTAATTTAGCCGAAATTTCATCTGAACACAAATAAGATCTTTTGCAGCCTTCTGAGTCTTTTCTGAAGACAAAAGTAGGTAAGATATTTGGGACGGATAATGCACCACCGACGTACAGGCGGGCTGAGAGTTACCGGTTTGGGCCGGAGGCCAAGCCGCCCAGAAGAAGTACACAGGTGGAGCCTTAAGTACTTTAGTGAGGAAAATAAAGACCTAAAAGCGACCGAAGTATTGCATAGACCCTCTCCTCTTTTGAGCTTCATCACCGGCGCTCGCCTTGGCCTACCCCCTCCCCATCAGACATCACATAAAACATCAGTCGCGCCAGTTATCTAATTTGCCTGCATCTGAGAGGATATCTGACTGCAACGTAGCTGATCCTCCTGGGTGAGTCAATTGGATCTGGAATTATGTTCTGTTTGGGAACTGCATTAGGGAAATGGGAATGTGCAGACCACCACGTATACCCATCGCTGGTCGTAAATACACTTCCCTAAAAGGGGAGTCATTTAATCAAGGACGGGTTCAATAGAGTTTTGCAGTTCCTCCTTGCAACGTTGCTATCGCTACAGTGCTGCTCAGCCCTATCTATCTGCATGGGTTCCATCTAGCTAGTAAAGAGGTAAAGGAATTATCGTGTGTTCACCTCATTGACATCTATGCACAGGTACCAGGGAGAGCTAAATAACGGACTTTTTGGCCAGTTCATGGCTGGTGTCACTTCGTTTGGTAATAGCTTTCCTGCAGATTACGGGACTGGGTAATTGTCATAAGCTGGTGTCATTTTCAACCCTTTGGTTAGCAGTTGTCAAAGATTCTCCAGCCTGGAGCATATGCCCTTTTTGGTCACATCAAGGTTTAGCACGCAACCATAGAAATCAGGATATTAACCTTTAGGATCGGTTTTGCTTTCTGCCGTGTCCCAAGACTACCGCGGAGACTAAAGAAGTCATAAACCTAGGGTAAAAAGATCTTGCCGACAAAGAGAAGGGTTGGAGGCTACTCGCATAACTCGAAGTTCCTCAAAGCATGTGCTAATATCACCCAAAAATTTTAGGGATTAATTTCTACCTTTTATCTGATTACAAAAGCAGTCAATTTTATCCTATTTTACGGGTTTTACGTTATATATAACATTTGGCTAAAGGGCTTTCTGCCTGAGACTTCCAGAAACCAAACTTGCTTTAAAGAATAGCCTCAGAACATATCCTGACACCCTTGTAAAATATGTGCTCTCCGGCATAACTACGCCTCTGCTGGCATAGGCGATCAGGTTAGTTATGAAAAGTATATACTAATTTTCACTGCAAAAATAATGCTGCGAAGCCAGTACCCACCGGTCTCGCTTGTCCCCTTCCTTCGAAAACGTGACAACACCACATCAAAGCCTTCTTGAGGTGGTTGCGGGTTTGCTTAATGAATAAATAATCATTGAACGG